CGCCGATCTTTTTGGTGAATGAAATGGAAACCCTACACAATGCCCGTGCTTTTTATACTCTTACCTAACAATTTACGGCCGTCCGATCCTTACATGTGTACCACTAATGACCGTCCGATTCGCTTTTATTATTGGGCTGTTGAATTGTGCTATAATTTTGCCCTTTGATAGACATTAAAAAAAAAAAGGTTATATAACAGGCCTAATTTAGAAAAATTGGGCTGATGAATCGGGCCTATTTAATTAAATTTATCTGCAGCCCAAACTTTTAATTAATTGTTTTGCTTTATTTGTTTTATTGGGCTTGTATTTAACTATAAGTTTGTGTTTTAATTAGTTATCCCAATATTTAATCAACTTTAGATACTTTGTACAATTTATATATGTTGAATATTGTGTTGATCCACAATAGTTAAATATCCTGAGAAATCGAATTATAAATAATTTATTGATTTATATTTGTCGTTTAGATGTGATCAATGTTGTTATTTTAGTATTCTTATTAATGTTGTGAATTAATTATGTTATGATGTGATCAATTTTGTTATCTTTAGTATTCTTATTAATGTTGTGAGTTAATTATGTACATTTTAAAATATCGATTATACAAATAAATTGGAAATAATCTTGCAATTTATTTATTTTGATTAGGGACTATGAATTTTGATATTTGTCCTGGATCAACTATTCGTAAACTTCAGCTGACTATTGGTTCGGGACGTTCATCAAATTCTTCCAATCCTATGCCCTTCTCTGATATTACAAATGGTATTACATTTATAATTCAGTTTATATATATTAATCAATATATTATGAATAATATTTTATAATTTTTTAATGTGTCATTTTAAGTATTATTTAAATATACAGGTCAGCTTACCTTTCGTGAAAAAAGGTCGAAGAATTCCAATATTATTGGATCGGAAAGCATTGTCATAGATATTTTGAGTGACGATGAAAAGGAAAATACAATTATTACTCCACCAATCACGACTTCGTCGTCTAAGCGGTACAAAGCATGTTCTGTACCAAGTGGATTGAAAATATTAGTCTGTAATGACGATGGCGTGTCGCCAAATCAGACCCAAAATGTTGTGTACAAAGAAGTGTTTACTAATTTATGAAGTTTTTAATTTGTTTTTCTCTAATTTACAGAAGTTACATAACTACAAAGTGCATTAAATTTAATGTCCCATGAATTGTTTAATTTAATGTCTCGATGACTCGACGCCAAATCAAAAGAAAAACGTTGTGTACGAATAAGTTTTCAATAATTTATATATTTATAAACGTATGCGCCCAACGTGTTTACTTTTGTTACAAATATAACAAGTTCACTAAATTTAATCATTAATATTTATAAATGTTTAGAAAAATATCATCCCGTGCATCGCACGGGTACTGTACTAGTATATATATAAAGAGGTTGTTGGAAAAATACATTAATAGAAAGTTTGACCAAATAAATATAATGCTTGACTTACTATTAATAGAAAGTTCAAAAAAACAGATATGAATCTGTAGTAACAAAATCTGAATCCTATTTTTTTGGCAACAAATTTGGAGATTCTTATGGCAAAATTTGAATTCCATTTTTTTCGTATCATATTTTATTTTTTTACCAAAATTTTCATATCTTTTTTTGTAACAATTTGGAGATTCTTATGCAAAAAATGTGTCAATTATTTATAAAAACAATTCTAAATACAAATTAATTTAAAAACCTTGCAAATTTGGTACAAATTTAAGAAATAAACAGTTGTATAATTCTTAACAAATTCTTCCAATATTACTGAATATTTTTTTCTTTCAAAAAAAGTGTGTAAATTGGATAAAACCACGTGCAATTTTTATTTTAAAATAAAACTGATATTTGGACGGGATGTACATTCAAAATTGTGTCCACGTTTTTTGGTAACAAAAGCGGTTCATCTTTGATATTTATAGTCACCTTATCCAATTATTTAGGAAAAATTGTGTGCGACTTTTCAAAATTTGAAGGCATCTATTTTTTTGAATTCTTATGTTTTTTCTTAACCATGTTTTACCGAGATTTTGGTAAGTTCATATCATTTTTTTTCTTGGTTAAGTTCATATAATTTTCTTTAAGAAAGAGACAGTTGCATAAACATTAACAAATTATTTCAATTTTTTTATTAGAATTAGTTTCAATTCAATTTGTTTGGTAAGAAAATTGGTGCAATGTTAGGAAATTTCGGTTGCAATTTTAGGAAAAATTGATGGTTTTTTTATTTGGTTTAAAAAAATATTCGGATCAATTAGTTTGATAAAAAAATCAGTTTATTGGTAGAAAAATCGATTTCATTTTCAGGAGTAACTAATGATGTTTTCAATTTTTCTTAATTGAAATTTAGAATTAGATTTAAAATAAATAATGGGTGAAAATCCATAAAAAAATTTACTTTTTTTTCTACTTCAATTTTGTTCAATAAATAAGATCCTTTAAATTTTTTAAAATTTGTTAACTAATAACTAATAATATACAATTTTGGATAAATTCGAACACCTATGTAGTATTTTACGTGCCAAAGAATCAAATCAATAATGTTGTACATAAGAAAGTGTTTAATAACATATAAATTTTATTTTCATGAAATTTTTAATGGCATGAGACAATTTAAATATAAAAATATCTTTAAAAAATATATATATATATAATGAATGCCCCCGTGCATCGCACGGGCACCATACTAGTATGTTCTAGACACAGGAAAACATATTAACCTTCCCTTTTTTTGTATGGGCATTATAGTCTTGGTAAGTTTGTTGCTTTTGTACGACTTCTTATAATGAAAGTTTATGTAGTATTGTTTGAAAAGGCTTTTAATTATGAAGGTATTGTAATATTCAAATTATTTTTTAAAATAAATTTTAAGCTATTTAAGGGATGATTGGACTATGTGTGTGGGATGAAATAAGAATGATACTATTAGGTTATATTTGGATGCATACAAACAAGAACACATATATGTGTAAATAGATAGAAAACTGCTAATAATTTATATTGATTGAAGCAAGTGTTCATTGACAATATTAGGGGTGAACATTGTTTATGCTTCTATGTTAAGATGAGAGTGTCAAGCGGGAACATAAATGATATATGTAGCTCTCGTTTATAAGTATTCATTTTATTTGAATGGATAAACTAATTATGCATTTCAAAACACTTGCACTCATTCATAGGTTTTCTTTCAAATTTGGCCTAATTCTATGCACTGTAAGCTTACAATTTACTCACTGTGATCTAAAGATAGATGTCTTCCTAATTGGTTGTGTTAGACAAGATAAATCAAGTTTTCTAATATGGTATTGTTTGTATATGGTGGTTTTTGTTGGATAGTTAGTATTTTGCTTTATTTTTCCTATCCAACAAAAACCACCATATACAAACAATACCATATTAGAAAACTTGATTTATCTTGTTTAACACAACCAATTAGAGAAAAATATCTATCTATATAAAAATATCTATCTAAATATGGTCAAGAGAAGAAGTCCACGTTGTCCCCGACGAGAAAAATATCTATCTATATAAAAAGGCAAAACTTAAGTAGAGAAAAAGTTGAAAAATATGTTTAATGGAAAAGGGTAAAAAATGTGAGGCAAAAAAACGAAGGGCAAATTAGGGAATTCCTTACATAAATGTACACATGTCGACATAATGTAAAAAAATAGAAGAAAACTCATTCTTCTTAAATATAGAGACTTAGATATATATTATATTTTCACCCGATATATTTGGTTTTAAGCTATATAATTGAACATACAATCTCCATAAATAATTAAAAAAAAAAAAAAAAAGAATGCAACTTATCATTTCTACTTAGAGACGTGGACATGTGATAGCCGATATCATTAAGATACGGTATACCATTCCACCTAGAGATACAACATGGACGAGATGATGTTTGGTATGTATATGGAGTAGAAATATGGCATAGGTGTCCACCTGCAGATAGGAGAAGACGGAGGGTAAGGATGGTGACTGCACGAGATTAAGAGAGTTGAGATGATTGCATGATACAAATAGACTTCAGTTGGGTTTTCAACATTTATAGATACACGGCCGGACACAAACCCCAAAACATGCACTGTAAGGGTGAGCATGGGTCGGTACGGTTCGGAGATTGATAAATCTCCAGGACCGTACCGAAGTTCAGAGATCACTAAAATTCGATCTCCAGAATCGTATCAAAAAATCGGTTCGATCCGGTTCGGAGATTTTTATATTTCGGTTCGGTTCGATTCGGTTTCCGAGACTATCAGAACGGTTCAGTTCGGATATTCGGTTCGGTTAGTTATATTTTATTATTTATATTTTTTTTCTAAAAAAAAACCAACATTCATCAATACTTTATCATACTAAAGATTTTATTTGTGAATAACACTAAATTTTAGTTAAGACTAAATTCAACTAACATTGAAAATTTAAAATTCAAACAAAATATAATACAGTTTTATATTAAAGTAATATTTATTTAATCTGCCAAACCATGTTAGTTAAAAGATAAACTAAGGCTAAGTATCATCGAGTTTAAGTAAGGATTAAATATATATTTTTTTTAAATCTTTAACCTTTCATTCCATTTTAATTTTTTTTAAGCAGAAGAAATTTAATTGTATATTAAATATTACTAAACATGAAATGTAAGTGAATCTTAATTGTTATTACTATATTTTATTTGCATTTTAAAAATTCTCAAATTATATACGATCAAAGTTGACATAAAATATATTAATAACACGCATTTATTTTTATAATTCAGTTCTTCGATTCGGTACGGTACGGGACAGTTCGGTTAGGTTCTCAGTACGGATATTTATAAAATCTCCAGAACCGTATCAATTATTTTTTTCAATTCGGTTCGGTTCGGTTCGGAGAAAGTCAAACGGTCAACGAATATTTTTCGGTTTGGAGTTATTTCAGTTCGGTTTCGAAACGGTTCGAAATTCTCCGAGTCTCATGCTCAGCCCTAATGCACGACACTCCTAATGCACTATGACACTGAGTGCATAACAAATTTAAAACACACTACTGAGAAAAGCAAAATAGTGAAGCTAGTTTACAATATCTTGAAAATCACATTAAAAAGTACCTCGTCCAACTTCCATATTTATAGGGAATAAAGCTCTCAAACGAAAGTTTTCCAAGTTTGTTGAGGCATAAACACCACTTACACACAAAAGCTACAAAATAACGAGAGCAGCCATTATAAATGCATTACACTACGGGACGGCACAGGCCACGGCACCTTTCGGGGCGGATAATTGAAACCATAACGATAAGCACGCCACGGATGACGGATCTCGTCCGGGCAAATGGCGCATTCACTCTCTGTACTCAAAAACAACAATATGTAATTTATTAATGACACATTCTCAATAATAATAATAATAATAATAATACATAGATGTAAAATCCACAAAGAGTTCCACAAGCATTTATCAATTTTATGTATAGGGAATGGATGATGTGAATAGTGATATATCATAATGCGACCTGGGTAACCATCTCGCCAACATCCATTCGTCTTCTCCCGATGTTCTTTAGGCTCCGCAGGTAACAATGTAGCAAGCACGTATTGGTCATCATTCCCTAAATAGAGCTCCGCAAACATAAGGCGTATTCTTTCCCTGCTACCCTCACCCACCATTGCCTCAAAGTTCACATGCACCCAACGTGTACTCTTCTCAGTAAAGTCCATTAAACGACCAGCACAAGTAAAACTGTTGCATCCGAAAGCCCTTTCAAACTTCAACTTTGTTCCCTGTTTTTTTTTATTAGAGTGAAAGATGAGGAACGGGAGAGTATAAATGACTGGAGCCTGGAGGCAACGAAATAAAAGAGAGAATAAAAAAATTTAGAAGAGAAAACTCACATGTTTCTCATTGTAGTCCTTCAATGCAAATTGTGACAATTTGACAGCATCATTTTCCGACAATAGCTTAGGATCACTGGCCACACTGCATCATGAAATATATACACACATTAGCTTTGGTTTGATTTATTACTTTATCAATCACCACAAGAATACATAAATCTAGGTCAGATGAAAAAGTATTACAAGGCATAAAAACCAGTGTTCTAGAAGTCGCTAGGCGCCCGACCAGCGCCCAAACGGGGCCTAGAAATTAAGATTAATTACCTTATTTTTTGGCGTCTGGACGACCGCCCAGGAAGACCAGCACGAAATCCATAACGAGGATGGCTTATGAAAGACCAGCATCTCTGACAACCATTAACTGCACCAGAAACAATTGAGTTCAAATTACAGTCAGGATGATAAATCAATAATTATCAACAGACAGCAAACACTACCAAAGAAATTTCACATTCTATAGGTTATAATATTGTGAACAAGATTCTACATAAAATTTATAGCAGATTATGTTATTTCACCTCACAGAAACTCGACAGAATCAGTGAAACGCTTTTATTATCAATAATACATAGCAGAGCAGCAAAATACTGAATGGTAAACTACACTGAAGTTGCAAGATTCTAGCATGTATAAACTTCTTTAAATTTGTCGAAGTTATCGTATCATCATTGTGTAGTATTAAAGCTTGAAAAAAATAAGGAAAACCAACAACTCACAAGATAGTGGAACCAATGCATCTCACATATAGTTGTAATCGGTGCATGCATATATAGGCACATACATGACATAACAGATACGAATAAAAAAGGTGACTCAGCAACACAAAGTCGTATAGTGGCATTACACTTATCTGTAGGCGCAACAAGCAACAGTGTTGGAATATCATGTGTTTTTGAAGTTATAATTGATTCAACAAACAAAAGAAGTGAGTTTTCATCATCTGGATCCACACTGCGCCGCCTGGCCTCAATATTCAAATGTCTCCAAATAGCGCGACCATTGGCAAAGTCAAGAAGACAACCAGGGCCACCAGCCATGAACCTTTCCTTGCCATCCAAAACCCTCACAAGCTCCAAGTCGGTTCCCTAGGGATTCATGATTATAATAAAGTAGTTCAATAAATTATAAATGAAATGAGACAAAGGAAATTATATTGGTGAGGACAGAAGAAAGACATGTCTGTTGTTGTATTTGCATAATGCAAACTCTGCTATCCCCTTTCCAGTTAAACATTGCCTCACTTGGCCCACTTCCTCAGGGGTTACAGGCTGGCTTCTGCATTACATCAGATTAAATTATGTGGTAAACATCAATACCACATGCAAATTATATTGGAGGACTGGCTGAAAACCAATTGAATAGGACAAATGACTAATTAGAGGTGGTTATAAGCTAAAACCTGTAGGAAAAAGACGAAAAGATTAATGGAGGTCCGTTAAGTACAGATTAGCTTAAGGAAACAGGAAGATAGAAATATAAAAAAGAAATAAACCCTTTCGAAGAATAACGAGGTATCCGCCGTAGCAGGGGCTTTTTAAGGTTTCCCAATAGGGCTGTTCCCTGAGAAGACATACGTTGGGAGGATGAGATTATATCATGAATGGTCACAGAAAAGGAAAAGAGCATGCTGAATATGCTACCTCGTTTGGCTTTTGACTCAACTCATTATAGGGCAATTTCGACTTTTCAGAAGTTTTATCCTGGTTTTCCTCACTTAATGATTTCCTACTGGGCACAGGCCGCGGCACCGTTTGGAGCGGATAATTGAAACCATAACGATAAGCACGCCACGGATGACGGATCTCGTCCGGGCAAATGGCGCATTCACTCTCTGTACTCAAAAACAACAATATGTAATTTATTAATGACACATTCTCAATAATAATAATAATAATAATAATACATAGATGTAAAATCCACAAAGAGTTCCACTAGCATTTATCAATTTTATGTATAGGGAATGGATGATGTGAATAGTGATATATCATAATGTAACCTGGGTAACCATCTCGCCAACATCCATTTGTCTTCTCCCGATGTTCTTTAGGCTCCGCGGGTAACAATGTAGCAAGCACATATTTGTCATCATTCCCTAAATAGAGCTCGGCAAACATAAGGCGTATTCTTTCCATGCAACTCTCACCCACCATTGCTTCAAAGTTCACATGCACCCAACGTGTACTCTTCTCGGTGAAGTCCATTAAACGACCAGCACAAGTAAAACTGTTGCATCCGAAAGCCCTTTCAAACTTCAAGTTTGTTCCCTGATTTGTTTTTTTTATACAGTGAAAGATAAGGAACGGGAAATGACTGGAGGCAACGAAAGAAAAGAAAGAATAAAAATTTTAGAAGAGAAAACTCACATGTTCCTCATTGTAGTCCTTCAATGCAAATTGTGACAATTTGACAGCATCATCTTCAGACAATAACTTAGGATCACTGGCCACACTGCCTCACGAAATATATACACACATTACCTTTGGTTTGATTTATTAATTTATCAATCACCACAGGAATACATAAATCTAGGACAGATGAAAAAGTATTACGAGGCATAAAAACCAATGTTCTAGAAGTAGCTAGGCGCCTGACCAGCGCCCAAACAGGGCTTAGAAATTAAGATTAAATACCTTATTTTTTCAGCCGATTCATGCAAATCGGAGGCGGCCGGCCGGCGTCTAGACGACCGCCTAGGAAGATATTTATTACAGGGATAAAAACCAGCACGAAATCCATAGCGAGGATGGTTTATGAAAGACGGGCATTTCTTACAACCATTAACTGCACCAGAAACATCTTAGTTCAATTTACATTCAGGATAATAAATCAATAATTGTCAACAGACAGTAAACACTAAATAGTAAACTAAACTGAAGTTGCAATACTCTAGCATGTATATAGACTTCTTCAAATTTGCCAAAGTTATTGTATCATCATTTCGTAGAATTGAAGCTTAAAAAAATTAAAGTAACTGTAAGAAAAATCAATAAATCGCAAGAGAATGGAACCAAAGCATCTCTTAGATATAGTTGTAATCGGTGCTTGCATATATAGAGACACACATGGATATGAATAAAAAAGTGACTGAACAGCGCAAAGATATAAAGTGGCATTACACTTATCTGTAGGCGCAATAAGTGACAGTGTAGACAGATGATATCTTCCTCTAGTTCTAATTGATTCAACAAATAAAAGAAGCGGTTTTTCATCACCAGGACCCGCACTGCATCGCTTGGCCTCAATATTCAAATGTCTCCAAACACGACGACCGTCGGCAAAGTCAAGACGACAACCGGGGCCAATGATAAGCGTTTCCTTGCCGTCCAAAACCCTCACAAACTCCAAGTCGGTTCCCTAGGAAATCAAGTTTATAATGAAGTAGTTCAATAAATTTCAAAAGAAACGAGAGAAAGCAAATTGTATTGATGAGGACAGGAGAAAGACGTGTTTGTTGTTGTATTCGCATAATGCAGACTCTGCTATCTCCTTTCCAGTTAAATATTTCATCACTTGGCCCCCTTCCTCGGGGGTTATAAGCTGGCTTCTGCATTACACCAGAATAAATTATGTGGTAAAGATGAATACAACATGAAAATCAAATTGGAGGACAGGCTGAAAACCAATTAAATAGGATAAATGACTAATTAGAGGTGGTTATAAGCTAAAACCTGAAGGAAAAAGATGAAAAGATTAATGGAGGTCTGTTAAGTTCAGATTAGCTTAAGCTCTAGACCTTAACGGCTGATCGGTAGATCTCCTAGCTTGCTAACTTCCCTTCTTAGGCCAGGAGAGTGTGGGGTCACCCCGTCTCGTACTACCCGAAAACGAAGGAGTTCAAGTAAGGCTTTTAGCCTCGGTTTGTGGTATTTGTATGAATGAGATCAGAGCACACGGAGTACGATCGAAGAGGGGAAAGCCCGCTAATGACCCAAGAGAAGGGCAGAAAGAAGAAAAGGAGAGATTGACCAGCAGTGCAGTGAAGTCATAGAGGTTCGAAAGCATTTCTTTGCCCGAAACAGGAAGAATGGAAAGATAAAAAAAGAAATAAACCTCCTCGAATAATAACGAGCCATCCGCCCTCGCCAGGGATTTTCAAGGCTTCTCAATGGGGCAGTTCCCTGAGAAGACATATGTTGGGAGGATGAGATTATATCATGATATAATCACAGAAAAAGGAAAAGAGCACGCAAAATATGCTACCTCCTTCGGCTTTTGACTCAGCTCATTGTTGGGCACTTTCGACTTTTCGGGAGCTTTATCATTGTTTTCCTCCCTAAATGAATTCTCAGATTAATATTATTATCTGTTTGTTAACTAACAGAATTGTAGAAAAGAAAAGGTTGATAAAATAACACAAAAATGAAAAAAAAAAAAAAATGGCGGTGTAGGGCAAAGTAGCTTCAGAAACTTTGTTTGAAATGAAGCAAAGATTAATAGCCACTGAAACTTATGTTCAATCAATATACCAAAGCGCCTATTTTTTTGAATGAAATCATACAACAAGCTGCTCAGATAAGCTACATATGGAAGATAATCATTCAATAAGAATTAGAAGAAGTCAACGACCACTCACAACATCAATTTCCGTTTGTTACTCCTGGTCAGCGGCATTTTCGTTCCAATATTGATGAAAAAACTAAACCGGAGAAGTATAAGAGCCTGTCACCGTTGAAATCAACGATCAATCATATGACCGCTCCCTGCAATCAAGAAATCGGAATCACGAATAACCATAATAATACTTACGCGGAACCTAAATAGTTTTTAGATATCGATTTTGGACAATGTTTGATAGAAATTTAGCCAAGATTCATTCGAACCTAAGTTTGTAAACGTGCCGATAAGAGAGCGTGTACCTGATTACAGTGCGAACGTCTCCTGTCAATATTGGCTAGGGTTTCTTGGAAAAGAAGCCTTGGGTTGGAGATGAAGATGAGTGATGGCCTATTATACTAACTACATGTTTGCTTGGTAGGATGGGACTGGACAAAAATAATCCAAAATTGTGGGATTATAATGTTTGGATTATTTTTATTCCGTATTTGATATGTTGGATTGGTGTTGGATAAGTTATTTGTTAAAAAAAAGAAAAAATTGAATTCATTCAACACAAACTAAGAAAGTACGATTGTGCCCCAAACAGGTTGATACCCTCGAATCTCTCTTGAGACTCAATTTCACGCACACAAGACAACCGTCCACTCTCGCCGGAGCCACGCAGAGGCGAGCCAATCTCGGATTGTCAAGCTGGCGTACAACCCGAAACGAGCTACGGCGGATATCCGCCACTTGAGCTCCATCGGCAGCCGCTCCACGTCGTCCCCATCTCCGGCGTCCGTCGTGCCGTTTCCGTTGTCCGCTGACCACCACTCATCCGCCGCCAAAGAAGACGACGATGACAACGGTCGCGATCGATATTCTCGGGATCGCTCGTGCCGCTCGTATTTCCAGCCTTTTCTTCTTCAATATTTATCCCAAACGACGATCTGTACAGGCCCCACCCCCATAGATCTAAGATCTAGATTCTCCTACTCATCGCTGTGGTTTTCACCGCCGTGATTTCAATTTTGTATGTCGTCAAGCGATTGGTGAACCGGTGGCCCTTTTGTGTGTTTGTATATTGTGTTGTTTTATATGCCTAAAATGTGTTTTTTTGTTTTCATGTTTCTATTTCTAATGCATTCACTCTTCTAGGTTACATGCTAATTTCTTGTTTTTCTTCCTCGTCATTTTGTGTGGTATGAGTTATACTTTAATGATGAAATTAAATTGGACTGTAGTCCATTCTGTATGACATCCTGCTATGTTACCTGGCTTTTAATTTGGTTCTAATGAGGATAAGTTTCACTAGCGTAAATGACGTTTGATTTAGATTTCATTTGTAAATTGTGTGTTAGGGAGGGTTAAAATTGTCTGAAAATTATTAAGAGGAGGGTAAATTCGACTTTAGGTTATTGGGATTGGATTAATCCCATGTAAGTGGGGGGATTAAGTTATCCCAATTTCATGGGATAATTCTCTTTTTTATCCCGGGCCAACCCAATCCTGCGGGCTTTAATCCGTTAAACCAAATGCAGGATTGACTAAGGATTAGGCGGGATATCCCCCATAATCCTACAAAACAAACAAGGGCTAAGGGTCAGCTATTGGGCTTCTAATCTTGAATGTGGCTAATCTATAGAGGGGAAATTTTTATCTCTCCATACATTTTGTCTTTAATTGCATCTATACTACTATATAAAATATATATTATATATTGCATTAATACCTAAATTTATCAAAATAATTAGTATTATCCCTTTAATTTGTTTAACTGATGAGATTACATTTTTCATGAATTTTGGTTACCAAAAATAATAACTGTCTATCCCAATAAATAAGGCAACTGATAAAATAAATTAAAAATGCACTTGGTTCATTCACTTCAGATGGGAAAAGGAAAATCAAACAGATACATTATATTCGGGACTGTGATTTCTAGGGTGGGACTTGATTGTATTCATCGATCCCAACCCATAATAAGATAAATTTGCTAAATCTTTACAAGGTAAGATATGATCAATTAATTAATAAATTACAATTTACAGGTTGCCAAAAAACTATAATTTTTCATAGGTGAAATAGTTTTCCGTTGAAAATATTTTACTCTCATGTTCCTAATTCGTTGAAGAAAAAAAAAAGGTATAAACTATTTTTTAGGAATCTTTGTTATATTTTAGGTATATTTTATTTATATGTGGGATCTGAATGAGATCCGCAGTTCAAGGATCGAGTGTATATCTTAGTTATATTTTATGTAGATGTGGGTTCTGAAATCGATTTTGATAAAAGAATGAAACTCGATTGTATAATTAAAGTATATTTTCTGTATATGTGTGTCTCAATCTGTCACTGGCGTGAATTACGAGAATTTCGAGTTTATATTTCATGTATATTTTATGTATGTGTTGTACAACTTTGGTATATATTGTATGCACCCGCAACATGTGGGATCTGAATGCTTGCAAAGGCTTTAGCTCACCATTTTGGAGTTGCAGGCTGTTGTTGAACGTGAAAGATTTTTCTTTGAAGGTGGGTTGAGAAGTAATATAGATTCTTTATTCGGTCCACCTCTTAAACAGGCTTTTATTGTGTATTGGAGGTGTTTGTTTAAACAGATTCAGAACAGGTATGGATTTAAATAAGAAACAGTAAGTTCAATACCCTTTGCACAAATTGCGAATTATGTGGAATTATTTTTTGATAGAAACATATCATTTACAATGTTTTAAAAGGTCTGTATTTGAATCTGAATCAACACTGGGTCGAATGTATGAATTCTCTGGATTGTATGCTTCAACCCAAGGAAGAAAGTAATGGTATATCCAAGGATGCAGCATGCAATTTTTTTTTCTCTTTTCCAATTGTGACGGAATAATTATAGAATAATCAGTTTGTATGTTAGTATATACAAAGGTAGAGTATATTCATAATGGCATATGACTAATAATATTAATTTTCTATGTTGTAGTCCGAGATACACAAAAAGATTAGCAACAATATTAAGAAAGTGGGTGGAGCTTTCTTCATGTTTCTCACCCACCGGTATGCTAAATGAGTGAATATTCATCAAAATTGATATGTATTTTATAACTGTTTGTTGTGGAAGAGGAAGAGATGATTTATGGGTCAGACAATTTATGAAATATTGGATTGTTTACAGAAATGGTGGTATGGTCTCAGACAAAAGTCCATGGGATAACATAAAAATTTTGAAACTACAGAACTATCAATTGCCTCATGCATCTATTTTTTGGTTTATTGGTATCACAGTTACAGTATCACATGAGTTAAGTGACACTTTCAATTTGAGATTGACCTTTTCGTTTGTTAGATGGATCAAAATGGAGAACACAAATGCTCGAACAAAATGGCCATTTAATATTGGGTTGAGAAAGACAATTTGATGATGGGTTTATCTTTCTGATTGTATTTGCAAGGTGTCAAGGTTTGGACGCTTTTTGTGATCGGTCGGTATCTTATTATGTTGTGGGACTACTGCCTTTTGTGATGGATTCGTATGAAGTAATTTCAAGCTACTTTTAAAAATGCTAGTATATGTATGTATGTGTATTCTTCAAGTTTGACAAATATATGTATAAGGTTGGACACATTTTCAACAACATTTTTTAGGTGGGACNAAAAAAAAAAAAAAAAACACTTTCATAATTATAGACTAAACTAGGGTCGGCTGTGCGTGCACAGTCAAGGACCCACTAGTTCTAAATATATTGAAGAACTAACTTGGTAATTCAATATTAGTTTGACTAATATAACTCTTAAGTTGTATTGGAACCCTTGATAATGGTATTGATTGACTAATATAACCTTTATTTGTTTTGAAAACTCTCAATCAACTCATTAATTTCCATGAAAATTTCAAATTAGCCTGATAAATATTTAATTTTAAACAATTGTTGGTATTATATTATTTAATTTTAAACATAACTTTTTTAACAAGTATTCGGGTACTACACGGGTATTGTACTAGTTTATATATAAAACATGGAGATGCGGCCTTGCCAAGATGACATCTGATAGCCGATATGCGATATCATTTCGGCCTTGAGATACGACATAGCTTTCGACCTAGAGATACAACATGTACGAGATACGAGATAGGCGAGATGACTCTCTTCCACTTAGATGGTGATTGCATGACATTAAGCGAGTTGAGATGAGATGATGATTGCATGATACTGCAGTGGGAATTTTAACATTCATAGAAATAATTTATTTCCACGTGTAGTGGGCTTGGTAACCTGTTGTTTTACAAGGGCCAAAAATGTTTATATTATTTTACTCATTCTAGAGAGGTTTTTATTTTATTTTATTATTTTTTTCCTAAAAACACATGTCATGAGTAGAGTCACCATTAAACATTGAGAAAGATGCACGCCAGGACACAAACCAAAATATGCACTGTAACACGAGTGCATAGTAAAACCTGCTACTGGGAAAAAGCGCAATATTGAAGCTAGTTCACAAAATAGTGTAATTCCAAGAGAAATTGAAGTAGAGCGTAATACGAACGGGAGATAAATTGAGATACTCTCTCAAGAACTGATAAAAGATGAGATGTTCTCTCAGAAAAGATAAATTTTTCAATCGTCAAAAACTAAAAGTCCCTCACCCTTCCAACAGCATATAAATGAAAAGGAAAATAAAACTTCCTAATCTTGCCTCACAATTGCAAGATAATTATTTTTCTACCTCAAAATACTAACTATTTCAGAAAATAAAATAAAAGAGTACGAATAATAATGCGACATCACAACCGACTAAACCCGAAGACAGTCATATTTATTCAAATATGCAATGGCGGTCTCGTCTTCATCATCCTCCCCTGGTTGAGGAGGATTCGGCCTCGAATCCGAACCGGTCTCGTCTTCCTCCGAATTGTCCCCCGAGAAAGGCACCAAATGTTTGACGTTAAAAACGTCAAAAGTACGAATATGAGAAGGGAGACGAAGACGATAAGCATTAGGATTTATTTTCTCAATTACCTCGACCGGGCCAATCTTCCGGGCTGACAGTTTGTTATACTCGTGGGCTGTGAAACGATCCTTCGTGAGGACGGCCCAAACGTAGTCACCAACCGAGAACTCCACATGGCGACGACGCAAATCCGCCCGACGCTTGTAAGCCGCGGTCGTGGCCTCCAACCTGGCCCGCGCCACCTCATGGGTCGCCTTCAAGTCGGCGATCAGGTCCGCAGCTCTCCTCTCGGCCGCGCCTCCGGGCGGCAGGCTCAACAAGTCCGACGGACCCCGAGGACGAACCGCGTAAACGACCTCAAACGGGGAGAAGCCCGTGGCCCGACTGACAGCTGAATTATGAGCAAATTCAGCCTGACCCAAACGCTGGTCCCAACTGCGAATATTATCACCCACCAAGCAACGAAGCAGGTTGCCCAAGGACCGATTCACAACCTCAGTCTGGCCGTCCGTCTGGGGATGGTAAGCACTGCTGAAATCCAAACGAGTGTTCGCCGTTCTCCATAAGCTACGCCAGAAGTGGCTGAGGAAACGTGTCGCGATCTGAGACTATCGAGGACGGAAGGCCATGAAGGCGGTACACCTCCCGAAAGAACAACTGAGCTACATGAACCGCATCTGTGGTCCGCTTGCAGGGAATAAAGTGCACCATCTTCGAGAACCGGTCGACAACGACAAAAATAGAGTCGAACCCACGCTGAGTACGCGGCAAACCCAGCACAAAGTCCATACTCACGACACTCCACGGCTGCGAAGGAATGGGAAGGGGCCTATATAATCCCGCATTCGATGCGACACCCTTCGAGACATGACAAACACGACACCGCTCAACAAACCGTCCCACGTCCCGGCGAAGGGACAGCCAAAAATAGGACCGCCCGACCAGGTCAACCGAACGGTCCCGCCCCACGTGTCCCGCACCATGCAGATCCGCAATGAGTTTCTGTCGAAGGCTGCAGTCCGGAATACAAAGCCGGACCCCACGGAAAAGGAACCCATCAGACAAAGAGTAGTCCCCAACAGGACCATCCGCAAGGCGCCGAACTATCGGCCCAAAGAACGGATCCTCAGAATACAACTCCCGCAACACCTCAAATCCCACAACAGAAACACGTAAATCCGTCAACAACAGTGCACGCCTGCTTAACGCGTCCGCCACTCGATTCGAAACTCCCGACCGATGCTTCAGGACAAACGTAAACTGTTGAAGAAAAGTTGTCCAAGAGGCGTGCCGAGCAGAAATATTATCCTGAGAGGCCAAGTGTCGTAAAGCCTCATGGTCCGTGAATAGAATAAACTCCCGATGAAATAGGTAATGCCGCCAATGACGGACAGCCCGAACAATCGCATAAAACTCCACGTCATAAGTGCTATAGCGAGTCCGAGGGCCAGAGAGTTTCTCACTAAAGAAAGAGACGGGACGACCCTCCTGACTGAGGACAGCACCAATGCCCACCTTCGAGGCATCGCATGACGGCTCAAACGCCCTCGAAAAATCTGGGAGGACAAGCAGAGGAGCCGATGTCAACTTCTGCTTGATAAGAGAAAAAGCTGTCTCCGCCTCCGGAGTCCAGACAAACGACTTCCCATGAAGACAATCGGTAATCGGGGCCGTGACAGTGCTAAAGTGGGATATAAAACGGTGGTAAAACGAAGCGAGGCCGTGAAAGCTCCGAGCCTCAGTAAAGGACGTCGGAGGCGGCCAATCACGAATAGCAGCCACCTTGCTATCGTCTTCACGTATGCCAGCTGCCGAAATAACAAAACCCAAGAACAACACCGAATCCACACAAAAGACACATTTACGAGGTGCAGCAAAAAAAGACTCAGAACGTAAAACAAGTAGTACCTCGCGAACATGCTGTAAGTGCTCCTCCAACGATCGACTGTAAATAAGAATATCGTCGAAATAAACGACGACACTCTTGCCAATAAAATCACGCAGTGCCTGATTCATTACCCGCATGAACGTGCTAGGGGCATTAGACAACCCGAAAGGCATCACCATCCACTCAAATGTCCCTCACGGATCTTGAATGCCGTCTTCCACTCATCCCCTGGCCGGATCCGAATCTGGTGATAGCCGCTACGAAGGTCTAACTTGGTGAAAATAGAAGCACCATGGAGCTGATCAAGTAAATCGTCCAATCGCGGGATAGGAAAACGGTAACGGACCGTGATCTTGTTAATGGCGCGACTGTCAACACACATGCGCCACGACTGATCCTTCTTAGGAATGAGGAGGGCGGGAACGGCACAAGGGCTCAAGCTACGGCGTGCAGACCCTCGCTGAAGAAGCTCCTCGACTTGCCTGCGCAACTCCTCATGCTCCAACGGACTCATCCTATAGTGAGGTCGATTTGGTAGAGCTGCACCCGGCACCAAATCAATGTGGTGTTGAATGTCACGAAGTGGCGGTAAGCCCGATGGCAGATCCTCCGGGAACACGTCAGCAAACTCAGACAACAAAGGGCGAATGGCTACCGGAGGTACCCGCACGTCACTCGCTTCCGTCCCCACCAACAATAAAACCACCGAAGAATCCCTCATTGCCGCCACAAAAGCAGACTGAGAAAGAAAAAGGACCGATGACGCGGCTGTCGCTGGCTGCACTGCACGCGGTGGAGAAGGAACTAGAATAATTTTGACCCCACCAAAGAGAAAAGAATACGTGTTCTGTCGTCCGTCATGAGCGGCCGCTCTATCATACTGCCAAGGGCGGCCCAACAATAAATGGCAAGCATCCATCGGGACCACATCACACCACACCTGATCCCTGTATGTCGGGCCAATGGAAAAAGAAACGAGTGCCCGACGGTCAACAGTTACCGCCCGGTCCCGCTGTATCCACGCCAAGGTGTACGGCTGAGGGTGAGGCTCATAAGAAAGTTGTAGCTTCTCCACGGCTTCCTGAGAAATTACATTTTCACACGCACCAGAATCAATAATAAAACGACAAATCTTATTACCCATCGTGCACGTGGACTCAAAGAGGTGGTTCCGCTCGCCGGGTGCCTCACTCGATCCCTTTGGTGTCAAACACGTGCGCCGAATGACCAAAGCTGTACCGACATCCCCGCGAACAAATTGCTCGACCTCGCCCACTTCCGTATCATAGACTACCGGGCCGTCATAACCTTCCGCCGCGTCGACCTCTCCACCCTCCTCCGTGAATAGAGCACGCGACCCAGTCACCTTCGGACACGCGGACTGCCGATGGCCCACTTCGCCACATCCGAAGCAGCGAAGACCTGCCACCGTACGGGCTGCCGCCGCCGATAGCGGTTGTCCG